GGTGATGGTTTCTTCAACAGCGGTTTTATTATAGCTTGTTTTAAGCTCGCTGGAATCTTGCCTTCCCGAAGGGAAGCATTAACCACCACCTTAACCCACTCAGCCAATCCCCCTCTGGCCTCCTTTAGAAGCCAGGATGGGCAGGGGTCCAGGATGCATGTGGTTGGCCTCATTCCTCCAAGTATCTTGTCCACATCCTCGGGTTTCACCAATTGAAATACATTCTCTTTCTTCCTCGACACGTTTAATCATGACTTCTAGCAAATTTTCTGCATTTGGTCAGTTATCATTACAGATGCCATATGCCAGTATTACAGACTGTTTGCAACATCAGAATTCCATGGAAATGTAACATTCACCATTATAATTTAATACCCATCTAGCATATAAATATAATTATTCAGACACTATATAATTTTTGTACACAAGGAACTCATCTCCAAAATGGCTCAGTTGTTCCGATTTCTTCCACAGTAAAGATTACAAAAATAATTCATTTGGCATATGTGCAGTTCTTTATCTTCTTGAACAACTATTGTTTCAGACACATCCATGGCTATTTTCCTATTTTTTAATATTGTCTGAACCAGTCATAATGGACAAAAGAGTAAGGAAAATCAGGGTATATTTACAGTAAGCTCATTCATATGTTATGGCTACCACCATGTGAATATATGAGAAGCTAACTAACTCTAGAAATGGTTGAGGACCACCATCACCTGCCTTCCACCATGCATATCAGATTGGAACAGAAACCAGCATTTTAGGGATATTACAGGGGATTTTTAAATGAAGTTTGAATTTGCTAATAACCTCCCACTCCAACTCTATGCACCTCTTAACTTCTTCTCATGCAACAACTTACCCATTTTCTAGTAGAGACTATTCAAGTTGGGTAAATATCACCCTGGCCATTTGGAATTTATGAGGAAGTAGTTAAGCCGGGAAATCCTCTAGACTGGTTTTTATATTTCTCTGTAGAAGAAACTATATCGGTGTTGTGATAGTCTTTTCTCTGAGGTGAACATGTTAAATTTCCTGAACTCTGAGTCTATAGCAATCCAAGAACATGCATCATTTACTTGCTCATGGAGCAAACATGACAGCAGTCCAGATGTAATTGCCAAATAGATACAGAAAAGACGCTTTCTAAGAGGTTGGTTTCTTGGTTTTTTTGTTGTTTCATTTTTGTCTTTTTGCATTAGGGAAAGATCACCAAACATCACAACGACCCATCATCAGATCGTTTGTACAAATCCATCATTGTCCCTGCATCCAAATCTGTATTTATTCTCATCTCTTTCTTAGAGCATAACAAAAAAAACCTCCTCCAAACACCTCTATGCCAGCTACTCATGCAATCATTTTTGTATTTAGGTGGTGATAATGCTTGTTTACAATGTCCAATAGGGTAATTTTATACAAAAATTGCACAGTGTCTGAATAATAACTGTATTTCTCTGCTCAATCCTGTTTGGAAGCCATCAACAAGCGCCACAAGATAAACATGGAAACAACTTTGCAGGACAAAGTTGCACGATTTGTGTCTCCTCAATGAGAGGCATAAAGATCTAAATTCTTGAAATTTGAATTAAAGAATTGTAGCATAGCATGGAAATTCAACTATATCCTTTCTCAAACTGGGGAACCTTGAAAGCAGCGGCAGGTTCCCTGTCTGCTCTAGGTCACTGCTTGAAGTTTTCAAGAGCTACTTCATGTGCTGAAATTATTTTGAAGGTGAGGGGAAGATGGGAAACTCTTTTAAAATTTGGACTGAAATGGATTAAGCCACCAGACACCTCTAATGAACAGGTTATTTTAATTAAGACTGGAGGTACTAAGTAACATAAATATGCTAGAGTTAATTACTCTAATGAGAGAGCTTTGAATAATTTGCTTGGCTGACTGACCTGACTTTTAAGACAGCTTTTCTGTCTTTGAAATGCAGGCCGAGTAACCCTTATACAAAATGCTTGGAACTAAAAATGTTTGGATTTTGGGATTGTTCGGATTTTGCAATACCTTATTTGCATATATGTACACAATGACCTATCTTAGAGATGGACTCAAGTCTAAACACTTGTTTAGGTATCTTTCATAGCCACCTCATACATATAGCCTGAAGGAAACTTTATATGATATTTTTAAATAATGTTGTTCATGAAACTAAGCTTGTGTACATTGAATCATCAGTATAGATAACTCAGCCACCTGTGTTGATTTTGGAGTGTGTTAGATTTTGGATTTCAATATAAGAGATGCTAAATCTGTACTAATTTTCAGTTGGGGCAAAAAGGGTAATTTAAAATAAACTCAATGGATAAAACCCCCGAAGGAACAGACAGTAATTTCAGAACATATTAATTACACTGATGTGAAAACTCTAGCCAACAGCAATATATAAAACGGTGATATCACTTTGTTTACAACAACTCAAGTTTATAATGATACTTCACATTTCCTAAGTGCTGCTTGTTAGCCTGAGCCAGCAGTGGGGAATGTGTGACAGCTGCAATAATACAAAGTATTGGACTGCAAGTCCTGTCAGCCAATGGTCTTTGTGTTGGGAGTACTAGTTCAGCAATACCTAGAAGGCCACCACTTTTGCCTCCCTCATGGAACAACATAATGGAACTAAAGAGTATCAGAAGGAACTCCTAAAAAGAAGGATAAGCTTATTGGGGCTGTTGCTACAGATGCTTTAAAAAAGCACTGGTTCTTAGAAACAGCCATATATCATGACAGAACTATCAAATGGCTCTGACTTTGAAGATTTCAAGCATACTTACTAAAAGATAACAGTGCAACCCTAACCATATTCAGAAACAAGTCCCACTGCATGGATGCTTGAGGTAATTCCTATACAAAGTCAAAAAATAAAGCAATTGGCACACAAGCTTTAGCTACTTCAACTACTTGACCTTGGACAGAAATACTTTTGCAACATGGGCTTCCAGTATCAAAAGGTGGGTTTGTAGGTATTCGAAGACTGCCAATCTGGGTGTTTAGGGGGAGACAGGCTTCTGTAACAACTTCCATCAACAATTTCTCCAACTTATCCTAGCAGATAGTCTATTGCTGACTGGGGGTGATGGGAGTTGTAGATGGCTGGGGAAAGTTATTCAGTTGACTTTGAGAGGAGAGATTGACTGTCATCAGTTTATGCTTATAAAACAGTAACAACAACAACAACAACAACAACAGCAACAACAACAACAACACATTAATAAAAAAGCATTGGCAAAAAGTAAAAAAAAAGGATAAAAGCAAATCAGCGATTGACATAAAAATACATTATCTTTGGTCCATAGGGACAGCTGCAATGTATGACTTTCCTTTAACCAAAATGATTATACAGCGTTGCTAATGCATTATTTACATTTCTATTCCACCTTTCTCCATTGTGTTCAGCATGGCTTTTCTCTTCTCCAGTTCAATTTCATTACCACTTTGTGGGAAGGATCTATTTCAAAGATAATGGCTGACTCTGCATTACCCAATATAGAGGGGCCTTGAACCTTGTTGTCCTAAATCTCAGACCAACATCTAAGCTACCAAAGCACACTGGAATTCACCTGATTCACTGGTCTCTTCTGCTTTTAGTCAATTGTTTACTAGCATGAGCATTGCCAGACACAAATGACATGTATTGCATCCATCTCAAATGCATTCCGCCCTTCTCAAAACAAGTTAAATGTGACAGCTACATTTGCTCTAGCAGAACTGGCAACCACTGGCCAGAATACATAATGCAAAAGAAACCTCTTGGTAAAGGAACTTTATTTACCTTCCCCATGCAATTCAGAATTATGCATTTTTGGTATAAGCCAAGACTGGAAAGTATAAAATATGGAGACAGGGCACCAAATATGTGCTTTCTGCTTGATTGTATATGTCTATCTCGCATATCCTCGTCATTACTGACCTTTCAATAAATGTACACTCTGTCTTTTCAAGCACTTTTTCTATGAAACTCTTTAAAATAATGAAATATCAAGTGTGAGTGAGTGCATATTCACCGTGATTAAGAGACGCAGCAAAAGCCACACACAGACTCAATTTTTCTACCATGTGGGGAAAGAAATCACAATGATGAATGACCCTTTCAGAATAACACCTTCTTTTAGGGATTACAGTTGCTACCAAAGGCAAATGCATCACAAGTTTTACACCACTGCTAAAATGAGGAGACCACAAGAGATTAATTTGTGCTAGGAACAGTATCCATTGTGATCCTTAAGTTACGCTTCCAGATCAAGCCATACATTCAACTGATCCAAACAAGCAGGGATTCCGATCCTCACCAAGACCTTTCCTGGTCTTTCCACTTTTGCAAAGATACTCAGTGTCAGATGTAGAGCAGAATGGAACTGAATTGTTGTTGCAAGGACAGCTCCAGAGGTCAAACACTAACACATAACTCCCTTCTGCTTCTGAACATGTCCTTTACTTTGCAATCCTGTATTGGTCTACTGAGAAGGAAGATCAACTATGTTAATTGGGATCAAAGTGGAAAAGTGGTCTGGCCTAAATATCCCAAAAGTACCAGATCCTGTCCAATCTTGGAAGCTAAACATGGTCAATCATGGTTAGTACTTGAATGTTAGACTTCTAATGAATACCAGGTACTGTAGATTATATTTCAGAGGAAGGAACAGAGAAAACCAGCTCTGAGTAATCCTTACTAAAGAAATCCCCATGAAATTAACAATAAGTCAATAGGAAACCTGAATGTATATACACATACACACTCAATTGGAAAAATGAGTTTTGGAATGTAACTTTCATAAAAGGCCATACCGGTTTTGAGATTTTACAGAGTTGCAGTCCAGAAAGTTACATTTCCAAGCTGTATTACTTAGTCTTCATTTCAAAATTTCCTAGCCAACTGGAGATCAATTTCTCTCTCCATGCATATCATTCCACATAAAGATGGTGGTCTCCTGATGGCCCATCTCCAGCTCTGCAAAAAGCAAAGACTTCAGAAGTCAGCAACTTACTTGACTTGCTTGGTCGGGGAACCTCTGTTTGGGGAGCTTCTGCTTGGTGAGCCTTTGCCCACCCCTTTGAACATCTTGGAAGTGTCTGAAGTTCCTCTCTCTTGCTGTCCAGAAGGCTTTTGATGAATGGGATGGCTAGGTTTTGGCTGCCTCTGGTTGCTGCGATCTGCTAAGATGGAATAACAGGAGAAGGTCTGCAGATTGTTAAAAGCAGAATCTGGGTGGCTCCTCCCCAAGCTGCAAGTGATCAAGAGCAGAGATGGAATCTTGCCCTTAAAAAATGACTAGAAAAACCAGTTTATGACTGAATGAGAAAAGCCTAGAGGAAGAGTGGAGGACCCCACCCTGGACTGGTACTAAGAAGAATGTGCTTCTGTGCAAGCCAAGACATTCCCAGCTAGATTCACACAGGTTTTCACCAGCCATTTCCCACGAACCCACAGAAACTCACTTCCAAGCTGGAAAGGAAGTACATTAATGTGCAGAGTGCAGTTTTGCTCCTTCTTACTGGTGCTTCTACACTGCATCTGTCCCAGCTGCAGATTAACTTTCTACATTGACATATCTTTGTAAGTGAATTTTCTTAAGCTGCTATTTCTTTACACTGGAAAAAAATGACCAGATTTTTTTCTTCCAGTGTGAAGGGATAGCTGCTTAGGAAAATAAAAGATCAGAACCAACACCTCAAATACAGAACAGTGAGAAGAGACATAAAGCAAAGCCAGTGGATTGTCAATTGTGCTCGTTACGTATAGAGAATAAATACAAAGCCTGTGGTTGGAATCAGGACCCAAACCCCAGTGAAATCTTTGGGTGACTGTGGGCTGGCTGGGGAATCACTTTTGCACTGGGCTGAACAGGAAAGAGGGAGATCTGATGAAGAGGGACTTCTCCCACTCATCCCCCTACCTCCTGAACTCCTTAACTTTCTGTGGGCAATGGAGCCTTGGTATATATTGCGGTTTGATTCCAGAACCTTGTGGAGATACCAAAATGTTTGGACTTATTTCTCATTACATATCATTTGTAGTAAAAATGTGTCCCTTATATAAACAAGGAACAATAAAGCTTGCTTTTTGGATTTTTCTAGCACTCCCAATCTGTGAATGGTTGAATCTGTGGATACAGAATCCATGGAAACAGAGGGTTATCTATCTATCTATGGATTCAACAACATGTAAATAGCAACAGCATTGTTCTGCTGCTGTAAAAATATTAAAGGGTGTTGTAGTATTTGAAAGAGAAGACTAACACATATTATTGGACGTAAGCTTTTGTGTGATGCAGAACACAAAAACGTATGCCAAACACATTTGCTACTCTCACAAGATTCGTTATTGTTTTTATTTCAACGGCAATTTGATGTTTGGCATGACAGTGGCAATTTGAGGAAAACAAGAGTTGAGCACAACTATCCTGAATTTCCCTCCGTATTAAAAATAAAGATACTGTTTCCCAATTATAATATGCTTTCAACTGATAGCTAGCAGATTCAAATCCCTAGGTAGCTCTGAAGTTCAGGGACATAAGACATTATTTCTCAGCCTAATCTATATCACAGGGTTGGTGTGAGGATAAAAAAATGGGGAAGGACAACCATATCCACTTTTTTGAAGTGTATGGAGGAAACATGGGAGGTTGGAAAAGGTGGCCCTTGTCGTCTCTTTCGACTCTATGAAATCCCATAAACAAGTATGGTCAATGAAATGGGTTGACCAGCATTATGTCTCTATTTTATCCTGGAAAAAATGTTCTACAAAGCCCTTTCCACTATTGTTTTGATTCTACGGTTGCCACATTATAAAGAGTACAAATGTCAAACAGATTAGTAAATTGTGTAGAAAGCTGTGTTCTTTCCCTCCAAATAAGTTCAGAGAAGTTTGCAGGCTTCCCTCACTTTTCTGAGAGAATTATAATGTATGGATTATACTTTCCCTCCGTATTTAGATTATAAATGAGTCTGGATGCCTTACTATGTGGGTTCATAAATCCTTGCAGATGTTGCTGGATTGTAGCTCCCACCATTCCTCATCAGTGGATCTGTCAGCAAGGACTGATGGGATCTGCATTCTAACAACATGTTGCCATTCTTCTGTTTTTAACACATCAGAACAGTGAGAACAAGAGAACACAGTTGACCATATTTTCTTTCTTCTTTATCTATAACCAGAACAATAATGGCGCAATATAGATTTTGTTATAGAGGCTCAGGAAGCTGCTTAACTTTCCTCTCAAACCCCACCTAGATGCACTTGACACACTACGGTGTGCAGCTCTTGCTTTCTGCTTATTTAAAATTTCTCTCTACACAGAAAGTAAGCAAATCTCACTGAGGATACTTTACTTCCTCCTTCCACTTGGATTAAGTCAAGATTGGCACCAGAGTTCTCCTAAGAACCTTCCAGTTTTGTTGGCCAAATGAGTCTGGCATGAGTTGTGCAGGGAAAATGCAGCTAATCTCAAAGCTAAACTCAAACATGCCAAGCATCTGAGTTGAAAGGAGTGTGAGTTGCCAAAAACACAAATAAATTAAATGAAGGTGTGGCTTCTCATTGAAGGGCAAAATAAATGTGGAGCTCAAATGGTTTCTCTTTATAAAGCCACTGAAACGGGCTGAGGAAAAGGGTGAATTTGGATGCTGCACTGCCAAACCCAGCTGAAACTAGCCAATGTGTGTATGCATGAATGGGCTATCCTAGCACAGAAACTAACTGCTTTACATGAAGGCAATTAAGAGAATTGGGGGGGGGGGCATTTAGAATGGGGAAATGTGGGAATGGGAAGAAAGATGACAAAGGAAACCTTTGTCCACTTGAGTTATCAGGCTGAAATGTTTCTGAGTGTATGCATGTGTGTGTGCACAAGAGAGAGAGGGGGGGGGGAATCTAAGTACATGTACCTAATGTTTTAGTGATATAACTCTACAGAGTGTTCCTTTAAAACTGAAAACAATACATGGAGATGTGGAAAGCAAGAGAAGAGCAATAGGGCAGGGGTGAAAACATCCTGAAAACCAGGAGGGAACACATCCATCAAATATTCATGATCTTTTAGGTAGGAACAAAATACTTTACTGTGGGAGAAAGGGGAGATAGATTGAAATCTACCCTTACAAACCACAGTGTCTTAAAATGTGTTTGGCAAAATACTGTTCAGGTTTTTTAAAGCAGAAACTACAGAAAGAAACACTGCCACTCTCCAATCCATTCTTCTTGTCTGCAAGAGTCCTCCTTTAGTTACTCCTGGTCAGATCCAAACAAGTATATTGACTATTTTGATATGTTATTACCTGATTGCTCCATGTTTGATGTCTTGAATTTGAATTGTGGTGCTAGAAGGAAAAGACATGATTAAATGAGAATGCAGTCTGTAGCATTAAACCTCTTTTGGTGAAGCACATAAGCAATGATTTGTTGCTCCCTGGTTGTGGCCATAGCTTTTCATGAGATGATGAATTCATCCTCCATCTCTTCTCAGTATTGATGGAACTATTTTGCAATCAGGGTTCAGCACCTTGGTTAGCTCCATTGTAGTTTGGACAGGCTTGGTTACTTCATTGACTTGGAGGTCACTGTAAGCGATAAATATTCATGATGAAAATGGCCCTTTGATTGCAAAGCCTTTCCATGCATAGATGGAAGATAAGATAGAGAAATATTTTAAATAAGGTGATAGATTAAAAAAAACATTGGTTGCCTAGTTTGTGTTGTGTCTATGAGTTAGGAGAGCAAATCTTTCTCCAGTATGTCATGGCCCACAACCAACTTGCCTTTGCAGAATTTTCTAATAGCAAAGAAGAAAGTACAAGGGAGCAAAGACTGCATCCATCATATTTCACTTCTCAGATATTTTCCACTTAATTAAAGTCAATTAGAATCAATAAATTGTTGTAGGATAAAAGGTTCTTCCCTTCTTAACAACACCATCCACCATCCCTTCTTAACAACACCATCAAAAAAAGTGTTTTTTTAAGAAGCTGATTACCCCTAGAGTCGTGGTCTCTGAACTTCAACATAATATGGCTTTTGGACCTCTCCTTCCTCCAGCACAATCACCTTTCTAAAGGTGGCTAACAAATGCTTTCAGAAAAAGGTGTGCAGGCTAGGAGACAGGTGTGAAGCCATTCTTTTATTCCCTTCTTTAGTGCATACTGGGACTCAGAAGGGGCACCTTCTTCCTAGCATGGCAGCATGCTATGCAGAGATGATTGCCAACAGAAAGACAGGTAACTTAAGATGGTGTTAGAGCAACTGGTCTAACTGGCTCACCTGCAATGTCAGTAACTTTCTCTGCACACGAGACAGAAACCGTTGTAGATGGTACTGGTTTAGCAGGACCTGAGCTAAAATAATTCAGGGTGTTGTCAAGAAGCCCTCCAGGGCACCATCAGAGCCCAAGTGCAAAATGTTGTTCTGAAACAGAAGCCTTGAAGAATTCCAAAGCTATGGCAACTCCTGACTTGTTTTCTTTCATCTCAGAAAGGGATGAAGGATGACTGGTCATTCAGATGCCTGGAACATTTTATGGGGACCTTTTGTAATGGCTGATTGACATGGAAATGGCTCATGAGAAATTAATCCAATGAAACCTCCTTGGTTCCAGTAAATCTATAAACGAAGATGCCCAATATGTTATAAACAAACCTATGGTGAGTGAGCAGCAAAGAACCACAATCAAAGCCATTGCAAGTGTTTGTAAAAGTGGTTCAGAATGATTTTGCCTGGTGTTTTGCCATCAAGAATTGGGATCATATCTGTTTTATCTTCTAGGAGACATTTTTACATTCAAATAAGACATCACAGGAAATGGCAGATCTATTAGAAGCTGCCGGGTGATTCTGTATTGCAAGATTGCAACAAAGTATTACTAATGCATACATTCCTGCTGTCAGAGTAGAAGCAGAATAGCAAAGATAGATATTTTCAGTAGTAAAAAAGTACCATGTACCTAGAGTCAAGGACATCTTCATAGATATCACATTGTGATATGCAAAGAAGGAGCCCAGTTAAAAAAAAAATCCCCAAACTGTAATCAAGAAAAGCAATCAGCATCACAATCTAGTAAAACCAGTATAGAATGACTCCATATCTGCAGGGGATTTGTTCCTGGACTTCTTATGACATGCAAAACTATGGATAATAGCAAATCCTATTGAAATGAAGGTCTTCCAGGCCAAGAAAACTATAGAGTTGCACTGGAGGTCCTAGAAAATGCCTAGGGTGGTCACATATGATTAAAAT